TCAATTTAGTAATAGTCTTCAGTCTTTAATGTGATCTGTTATAAACTCTCCTGATTTACGTAAAAGTTGACATTCTTAAAGGGGTTAAAACGAGTAGCGTAAGAATGATATTTGATATTTTGAGAAGGTTAGATGACGAGACTGTAATGTTTTGATAAAATTCTTCTCCTACCAAACCTTCTCCTCCTTTTGATATGACTAGTAGCTCCACCTGCCATTATTTTTTTCAATGGCCAAACGAGTATTTATATATTTGGTTTCAGAGCTGCATTGCTCACTAAATCCCCCTTTAAATTTGCTTCTCTCTCAAGGGTTTCCCCTTCTCTCTTATTTGGCTTCACACACTTTTTGCTTCTTCAGTTTTGTGCGAGGCTCTAGAATTTGATTTGTTACGTTTGTGTTTTGCAACTTGTGACATGGGTTGTTTCCCCCTCAAGTTGATATCTGAACAGTGTACGTAGTTTTGTTAGATGAGTGAGGGTAGAGGGTTTTTATTATTATTATTATTTTAAAAGGTTCGGTTGTTGTACGTAAGTTCTTTCAGTTCTTGGGATTGCGTCTGAAGTTTTGTGAAATTTCTTGCCAGTGTACTTATGTCCTTTGAGATTGTTTTCATATCCTGTTGATGGTTCTTTATTGACCAGATAACTAAAGAAGCGTTTGATATAGCTGGAGATATGGCTCAAGAAGGTCGAAATCATCTAGTACACTTATATAGTTGTTGAAATTTTAAGAATGGAGTTGACAAAAAAAAAAAAAAAAAAAAAAGAAAGAAATTTTAAGAATGGAAGAAAGATGTTTTTTAATTGACATTGGCATAGAGAGAAGTAGTGAATAAGATAACAAGAATAAAAGAACGCTAAGCCCAGCAAACCTGAAAATTAGGGGCCCAAGAAAATGAAATTTTGGCCCAGTTGAGAATTAGGGCATGGAACCATAAAATCGCAGCAGACACACTTACTTTGGGGAAAAAGAGAAACAAGTTTTGGCGAGGATGGATAAACCTGGTGAGAAGAATGCTGAGTATCGTTGGCCAACACGTTCATATCGGCGCTGGGAGAAGAAGCACAAGGCCCGCTGTAAGGCTCAGAGGGAGGAGATTGCCCTAAGAGAAGAAGAGACTCTTCGTAAGGCTGAGGAGCTTTTTTGGCGTAAATTTGATGAAACAGATGTATTTTTTATTTCCTAGTTACTTTTATTTTATTTGAATTGAATTTGATGATATATTAATCTTCCTAGTTGCTACCTAATTGTTGAGAGTTTTATATTTAGGGTTTCGATATCGAGATCGAGGGTGCTCCTTGTTATTTTGGTGGTATGAGTGTTTATAAAGGTGGAGCAGATTGTCCCCTTACAGCGCAGCTTTATGCCAAGGTTGGACTTCATCGTTACAATATGCTACAGGTAACTTTTTTTTTTGTATCCACCATCATCTATATATATATATATATATATATATATATCTTAATTAGTCTCTCCCTCGTACATGTCAGGGGACCAACTTGCATCTTCACGAAATAGAGAAATACAATCTAGTTTGTAACATCATGCCTGTCTCCTATTACATTACTTTGCTTGCTGAGGATCCAGCTACGTCCTCCCTTGTTGTTTTCCAGACTTATATTGACCAAAGAAGTTTAGGCGATATGGATTTCACTTGTTATACCTCCAGACCTAAAGGTTAAATATACAGTTTTTTTTTTCTTTATTATTTATAATGATAGATTAATGTTATGGCTTCTCTCTCTCTCTCTCTCTAGGGATCAAGAGTGTGCTTTATCCGAAGCAGTTCTTCGATGCCAAGAAGTTGCCTAAGAAGTGGCCTTCAAAGGAGGCTTTTGCTGATAAAGGTCGATTTTTCTACAAGGTAGGTATAACTTTTATGAATATGACAATGTATGTATAATAAGAATGTGCTTTCATTTGATTTTACCATGTTTGTTTGCTTCGCAGATGCAGGAATCCGATTGGGAAGAACATGATTGGATTCGCTTGTATATGGAAATTGCATTCTTTTGTAGAGATCGGTTGCTGGATGTAGGTTTTTTTTCTCTTCTTTTTTTTTTTTAATTAATCGTTTCTTTGTTTATATATATAATAATAAAGTGTCTTTCTTCTTGGGTTGTTGCATGCATGCAGCACAACATGTCCGATTTAAGGATTTTGAACGTAGTGTTAGAGACTGAGGAAAATCTGCCATATGAAACCGTACTCAAGAGTTTTAGGAATGTTCTTGTCTACATAAGATATGATCAAGACTTGGGAGCGGATGGTGTTTGCAAACACATGGCCATTGTTCGAAGAACAGTCGAGCCGACAACTCAATGCGTTTGTCTCTTGGGCGAGTCTCAGCTCGTGCCCGACTCTGAGTAATAGTAACTCTTTTGCTCTGTAAGATATATATATAGCTTCAAAAATAAACACAACATGCAACTTGTGTCGTTGATTTATGTGTCTTATATTTCCGAGATCAAAAAGATAATCCAACAACCTCTACTTGTGTACAAGCAGTTTGCGTAAAAGATCATGCGTTTTTCTTTGTTCCAGTTTGTTCGCCTCTTATTAATAGATTTTATATTTGCCATAATGCTTGATCAATTCCCACCATAATTAAAAACCTGTAATTAGCTGTATGTCACCTACAAAAAATTAAAATTTATGGATAGAGCTCTGTAGGTTGTTAAAATTATATATTTGTGTGTTTCAGTTCAAGTGGTTCTTCACTTATGTCCTCACTAATTATCTACTATCATGATCTTATTTTCTATAGTTCTTTGATGCATATTGTTTTTCTTTTATCGCTTACATCGTTTTATTTTTCGGCTTAATTTTATTTAGTTTGCTTTGAAAAAACAACAATTAAAGTGTTTTCTAGCTTGATCTGAACTGAGAATTGAAATATGTATCTGGTCTATATAGATTCAATCCTTTCCAAACTACTTTGATTTGATGCGCACTTGCAATGTGGTTAAATGGTCAAAAGCTGAGTGATCAGTTACTTGGCTAGTAACAAATAGAATCTAAAGTTTTTCCTTATGGGTTGGCAAGCTAATTTTTCAGAGCCACCTCACCAAATGTGTAGCAATGGCTGATTAGAATCTACACATTACGGATGTCACATAAACATTGTCAATGAAGCTGATCTGTATCCTTTCCCCATGTTGACCATAAAGCATTCCCCACCAACACTATATTACTCTGAACATGAAGCTTATTCTGAAAGGAACACCCTCATAATATAGTATATTATGAAAAATACCCCAAATAATGCTTAAAATATCCCTTTATATTTTCACAGTGCAAATCATGTCCCTCAA